TAATTCTCAAGGAGGTTAAACGTTTTACCTTCCAAAGCTGTTTGGAATATTAAGACAGCCGGAAAACATATCATGGCCGTAAAGAATCAGAGATATTTAAGGATCGTGTCTTTTAAGGAGTTGGGAGAAAATTATGACCATGAGTTTATCACAGTAGCTTTCTCACTAATCCTTAAAAAACATAAACAAACGCTCTGCACAGAAACTTTGCCAAAGACTCGAACACAGGCAGAGGTCAGAGTCAATCAATTTCCTGACGCTGGTACTCCAGGAGGACCTGTTGTACACACTAATAAATCACTGGCTACAAGCCCTCAGCACAGTTGTCTGGTCTTGTTATTCACACACAACTGTTGCTGGCTCATTTTCCACTTCCCATCGCAGGACACCACAAAATGGATGTGCAGCCAAAGCAAGCAGTGAGCAATCCGAGAACACGTTCAGACTGCCTTGCAAAAGCATTCATGCCTAGACTGTACTTGGATATGATCCTGTCACAATAAGGAATATACCAAACAACAGCACAAGTTAAAATAGGCTTTAATTTTCCCTTTGCGTGCTCCTTTGTATAGTTTGATCCTGCTGCCCTTTAATATTATTGAAAAGCTGCCATGTTGAAAAAAGTACAGCAAACATTTGACACACGGTACAGTGTTAGTTTGTCTCTTTTTTGTTATAAATGTCCAAACTGGTAGTGTTGCTTGTTTTCCCAAACTGAGGATTGTGATTAATATGATTTTGAAGGGAAACGTTTTGTTGAGATTTCATAATCCATTTTATTTATTGTTTTGGTCTTTTTTTATTTATTTTTTTATCTATTTCGGATATTCAAAATGTCCTCTAGTTCCAGTGTTAAATGTTCTTTAAAAATCTAATTTTATTAAACTTTAAGAGGGTACATTTTCATCATTATGCCTTAATCATTATACAAGTTGAAAAAATGGTCTCAAAACGACACGATTATCATTTATTTAAATAATTTCAAGGACAATTTATCGTCCAGCAAAGTCATACATAATTCTCTCATTATCTGACATCAGCAAACTGTTGAGGACTGGTAAGCATAAATGGTGTTATATCAATTTAGTTCCTGCTAAAATAAAGGTTAATAATAACACTTCCAAGACGGGTAACGGTGATATCATTTAAGACCCCTGTTTTAAACCAGTCAACAAATCCCTTTGTTCATTGCCTTTTTAATGACAGATGCTGCCACTTCTGTTACCTTGATTCATTGGTATAATGGCTAATCAAGCGTGTTTGTTTAGTTCCAGGACTACGGAGGTAAATGTGAATGAGCGAGAGCTCCATTCAGTCATTTTTCATTATCACCTGACCTTGATCACGGCTGTGAGCAGGCAATCACAAGTTAAACTCAGATTTTGTCTAAGAATTAACCCAGAGAAAGCATAAACTACTAATTACCACAGAAAACGACTACAGTCAGACTAATTAAAGTCGCACACTAACGTACTATCAACCAAGCACCTACTTATGTCAAGCCCTTCCCCTTTAAATCAGCAATCGATGTTCTTGATCAGACTAAAAGAGCTGGACTTGTTAGGCAGAGGGTATTTGCAGAGAAGGTCAGCTGAGAATCAGCCGTTGTGTGATTTTCCTGACCGCTTTCCAGCTGTAAGAGCCGCGAGAAGTTCCTCACTGAAAAGCACTCGCACAAGACGCCGATTATCACTCACTAATTCTTGCAGCTGGGAAAACACTGACAGAATCTTCTAGCTGCATGTGGAGCAATAAATGTGTTTGTCACAAACTCTTTTATGCTTTTCCTGCAAAATGCATGAACTGACCCGGTTATGCTGGAAAAAAAACAACAACAGCATTTTGCTCTGTTTTCCTTTTTTGTTCTTTCAAGTTTGGGTGTTTCTTGGCATTTCTTAGTATTTGTCTCCGTCTTATTGTAAGCGACGAAGAATATAAATATGTTTGATGGCAATTTTTCTTCAATAAGAAAGGAAACATTTTTCAGTATGAGGCTTATTTTTTTTCTCTTCTATCCTTGGTGACAAGCAGGAATGAAGGCCATTTTTTTTTCAAATCGAAGATGGATAGCTATAGCAAATAAGGACTGCGGCATTGTTTGAATATTTCAATTGTAGTTATGTAATCTCATCAGTCACATGGCATATTTTTGAAATATATACCTCCTTGGTTCCTCAAGGAACCTGTAATTTATGCTAAAATGTAGTTGCAGCGTGGCAGTAGGTGGTAAAGACATTCTGCACAGAGAGAGAGCAGCCAACTCAAACCTTCAAAAGACATTACACATCCTGCTGGGGATATATTAAGATCATTTATTCTCTTTTATTTTAGAAAAGCAAAACTTAACTTCTTAGTATTATCACTGAAAAAAATAATGTGATTAAAAAAAAACGAAAAACTGATGAAAACACAATTCAAGATGAAAAGCTCTGCAGCACTCAGACAGTTTGGACTTTTTTTGATTGCATGAAGATTGGAAAAAAAAAAAAAAAACACTGATGGGCTGCGTATCTCCTGCAGGTCAAACGTCTCCTCATTGTGCAGCTACGCAGAGAAACTGAGCTTCCAACCCAATCCAGCTGCGCTCCACTCATTTCAGTTGAGGTCCGTGAGGGCCACAGTTCACTTGGCAATAATTACCCCGGCCGGCTCATACCATCTGCTTGGAATGACTTTTTTAGTTTTAATTGGGGGCAGGGAGGGGGAGTTTGCAAATGTTAGGCTCATTTGGAAAGTAGTGAGCTTGATAGGCATCAAGACGAACGAGAGATGAAGATCAGCAGGCAGATGGTCGATCCGCAGCACGGCCAACGGAAGAGATGCACACGACTAGATCCCACCACACCCATAGACAAACCACCTCTACCTGCCTGCTCAATTATTAATCACCGATTCCGACACAGGGACACAGTTTTAGCACATCAGAGAAAAACCTAAACAAATGCAGTCTGATGTTATGGTGAGTCATTGCTTATCAGCATTACAAATAGGATATGACTCAGTCAGTCATATATATGTAAACACAGATATATGAACCTAAAGGCTTCTCTCCAGGGAGCAAAGTTGCCAACATTTGCGTTCTTTTTTATTTCCTTCTATAGGTAAATTTCAGACTGTCTTGAATTTATATTCAAAATGAATATATGCAACTTTAAGACAATATTCTAACACCAAGTTTTTAGGCAAACCTGTGGCATAATGATCATTCCTTAAAGATCCGAAATATAGCCCACACACTAACGACTGTGATAAAAATCAACATAAGTGCTGCACACACATCGTCTGAGCAATTAAGTTAATCATTTGACCACTAGGGGGCACTCACAACATCATAGAAGTGGCAATGCAGAGACCAAAGGGGCGTGGCTAACCACTTAAAGCCTTCACCTATTCAATATGTCATATGTATGAGGCATTTCCACTGTATCTGACTGAGCTCCATGTTGTTCTCCTCAGGTAAGCATTGAGGACTACTAAATTACTATTAAATAAGTGTCCAGTAATCATTTGCTTCATTGATTATTGTGACAATTACTCAAAAAAAAACATTCTGCAGATTTTTCATTTAATCACCTAAACTTTTTATACAAAATTAGACATACATTAAGATATTAAAATAATTTTGTTCCTTTTTCAGACAAGAAAATGAACATTTTATAGTCTAAAATGCAATAACCTGCCATCATATTAGACTTGAGCATTTGCAGCAAAGGATGCATGTGCAGCTAAAAGAAAATACCTCCGACATCAACTTGTGAAAAGCTAAACCTTTTCTGCTTGATTTAACACCAATACAGTCTGGTATTGGTGTTAAATCACCAGTCTCATACAGTCTCAGGCTATTCTGCTGATTATTTTCTCGGATCGACTGAGAAATTATTGCATAGCAAAAGGTGTGCATTTGTGTAAGAGCTGGTTAAACTTCTTTTGTAGCTATTCAAGAAATGAGAACAATCAGTTGCTAAAAAGCATTTGGTATTTAGATATATACATAAATAAATAAATACAAATAGACACACAACCCACTATTTCCCCAGTGTTTTATCCAACCATCCATTTTCTAACACCCTCATCCCTTAGTGGGGCCAGGAGGGGTGCTGGTGCCCATCTCCAGCAAACTTTTCAGGCAAGAGGCAGGGTACACCCTGGACTGGTCACCAGTCTGTCGCAGGACAAACAACCATGCACACACACACTCACACCTAGGCCATTTAGAGAGACCAATTAATGACAGTCGTGTTAATGACAGTTGTGTTTTTGGAATGTGGGGGGAAGCTGGAGTACCCGGAGAGAACCCACCAAGCACAGGGAGAACATGCAAACTCCATGCAGAAAGACCCTGCATGGATTCCTGGGCCAGGAATCGAACCAGGACCTTCTTGCTGCAAGTCAATAGTATTACCAACTACACTGCAGCCCTGCCAGTGTTTTATTTTGCAACAAATTATATAAAAGTCCATTATTCATTTTTGGTGACCCTGAGGAGTTGAATGCAGATAATGCAGTGATAAGCACGTTCCCTCGTGTATCAAAGATGAATTGCCTCATTAGCTCAGAGTGAAGTATGGGAGTGTTGTCAAAACAGGAGGCATTATGTATCCTGTCGGCCAAAAGCAGCATGCAAATCACCAACCTCCTAAAATTAATGGGGTGTGATGGAAGCGTAGAAAATGCAGCACGACATCAACAAATCCTGAGACAAGCCGTTCTCAAGATTGTTTTTGTAAGTAATAATTGAGTTTAATTGGGCTGATGCGTGAGTTTAACTGCCTCCAAAGTGCCAGGTGCAGATTTTGTTTCCAGTTTTAATTTACATTTTCAGGGTTATTATGTATCCAGAAGATTCATGTTGTTATTTTAGCTATCGCTAGGCAACATCAAACGCTTTCTGGTCGTTTATATATAAACTTTTGCGTCACTCAGTGGCTAATAATGCAATACCTGCCAATAATTTAATAATTACAGTGCTTTTTATGAAATGGGATAATGTTTAAATTTTGAATGAATGGATGGATGAATTGATACTATGAAAAAAAACTGTTAAAAAAAGTTGATGATATTTTGCCAAAGAGGGAGTGGTGACATTATTATTCTAAACCTGCAAATCCACTTAAAGATGCCATGCAGCTTGTCAGCGGCTACCTGGTGTGATTCAAAACACAGCAATTTCTCTAACCTTGTGTACTGACCAAAGACACACACTGTGCTAATTATAGCCCCACAGCCTCCTAAAATACATGATTTCTCCTTTCCTGTCAGCTCACATTGGCACAAGCACTTGAAGCAAGACTCTGGGAAGCCTCATTATCCCCTTGGAGGAAACCTCACAGTGATTTATGTTCAGGTTATGTTGGTAGACGTCTGTGGGCATTTATCTTGAAGTCAGACAGATGACAAAGTCTCATCAAATACGAACACAAACAGGTGGAAGCGTGTCAGTGCTGCTGTGAAAGCATAGACGCTGATACACTTACCGATGTCGATCGTCTGACATGTTCAGGAGTTTGCAGTTGTAGAACATTTGTTTATTCTTGCTCATAAAAGGATGCATCCTTTTAGACCTTCAAGGCCATAGGAATGCATTATAGTTTATTATATATAATATATATTGATGCACAGTTCTGTTCAAGCACAAAGAAAAGCTTCCAGAGGGGCTGAATTTAAACAAAAACACAAACACGTAACAACATCCACAGGTTTTGCCAAATACGTTTCTACAGACATAACTCAACTTTAAATTTTTCTGTTCCGTTTCCTAGTTTATTCTGGCCGAATATCAACATTTTCATGTTACGTATTGTATCTGTGTATAAACTGAATGTGGGGGGGGAGGGCAAAATCATCAGGAGACTTTGGCTGTTGCTAGCTAAAGCATGCCATACTTTCTCTGTCCTTTAAGCACGCGTAACATATTTGCTAAGGTTAAGGCTCCCTTTACTTGTGGTTGACCTGTCAGCTGCACCTCAAGCAATCCATGTGGCTGCCTTTTGAACAGCTGATTCTTTTAAAAGTTTCAATCTACATTGCAAAACTGTATTATTTGACTGATCTGCTTTGTGTTTTATCAACAAACTGATTTTCATCCTGGTTTGTAAAACTGAAACATTACTTTCAGTCAGTGTGTACTATGTGTTAGAGAGGAGCTGAAACAACAGTCAGTAAACTTTATAATGTTCAAAAGGAAAGCTGTATGTTTTTGATACAGAAGAACAATTTTTCACATAAATTTACACGGAATGCTAATGAAATACGTTACAATCTAATTAAAAAGTTTTATCACAACAGTGACGAAACTGCCCTGCACAAAAAAATAGCTGGTAGAAGCAAGAGGCAAGTATAATGAAAACTAATGCTATACAATAATATTAGAGAATTTTGGGATGCTGATACCAATGATGGATATTGCAATAACTAATCAGTTGCAATATGACTATTTTCTCCACTCCTCACTCTTATTTGTGTTTCCTTTGAGACTTTTACCATTTAAAGTAAATCTGATTTTAATCTTTTCCCCTTCCACTATTAAAAAGAAATTATGAATGTCAAAAAATATCTTAAGACTGGCTTTTATTTCAATCATTCCTTCCGTGAACTGACTTGAATTCAAAGCTGAAAACAACAGAAGCTGTAAAACACAGCTGCCAAACCAGATGGTAGTTCTTGGGTGGACTAACATATCTCTGAACAATAGAAACCCCGCAGGTGCATTGGTGAAGAAAATAAAATCCAGGTTTTCCAAAATTTAACATTCAAAAGCAGAAAACCCTAATGGATGTTTTGATGCATTGACATTTGGTTAAATGTGAGAAAGAGATGGGTAATTCTGGTTAAACTTGATAAAATCCAGACAAACAGGACTTCTTTGCAGTCTAAACTGAACAGAGGCTGGGTAGCACAATTTTAGTGTGTCCTCTCTACTTGGATCTCTTTCGGCTGGAAGAAGCTCTTGGGTTGGAGTGGCAGATGCTCAGTAATGGGAATGAAAGCGATCAGACATGTCAGGTTAAGTATAGCACCAAGCGCAGAAAGTAATTAAACCTGGTGGACCTCTGTAATGAGATGATGGGGTTGTATTAAAAGTGCTTGACACATCATCATGTTAAGCTGTTGGACACATGCAGTCGGATAGTGAACCGAGTTTATTACCTCGAATCATCTATTAAACGTTTGCTTCCCTGTCGTGTCTCCCTAAAAAGCCTCTTTGATAATCCTACAGCAGCACATGAGATGCAACCAGGCTGTAATGTCACACAGCTCTCATTTCCCACTTTTACTTGAACATTTAACCTTGATTCAAGCAGGGATATTACATCCCATTATGGTTTTAAACAACTGCTCTACGAAGCAGTTCAATCGGTTGCACAGGTCTTTAGAATGGGACCTGATCACCGAATGGATTCCTGCTAATGATTCAGCGTGCAACGCAATCGAATCCCTGATAGTGAAATGCAAAAGATTCAATTTCAGGAGAAACCTACACAACAAACACACAGTGGGAAGCATTTTGTAGCAGGACGTAATGGAAGCTCAGTGAAGGTTAACGTAGGCGTCAAAGCAGCAGGCTGCAGACAAACAGCTCGTCTTACAAACTCGTCTATTTTGTTTTTAATCTGAGTAAAATAGATCATTACCGTTTACGTGACTCACAATTTAAACTTTAGTGTTACCACAGGGATTTTCCACAGTAAACTGAAAAGCAAAGGGAAAATATTTGGGTTGAAAAGCTGAAATATGACCAACAGCCATTGATGAAACAATCCTTATTGCAGTTTGTAAATCCATGTCAACAGGTCAAATTATCTACTCTTTTTTTCTGTTGAAACAAATGCAGACTCAAATCCTGTTTGATGACAAGAGTCGGGAGGAAAAAAAAAAACAGGGAGCTTCAAAGACTAATCCTACCAGACAGATGGATGGGTCTTCTGTGTTAAGAACCCAAACTGTATACTTGATCTAGTTTCTTTAAAACTCATGACTTTAATATTAGGGAAAGAAAAATGCAGTATCCCAGATCTGTTTGTTTTCTAATTCTTAGTTACTTTTACAGCTAAACTGTATGAAGTCTTGAGAAATAAATAGAAATCTGCCCCAGAGCTCCTGTTGACAAAGTCTTTTTCATCCCTCTGTGGAACAGCTGAAACTGTAATCACTTCTATCCCCTGCAGTGAATCTGTGTGCTTTAATAGAGACCATATTTAAAAAAAGAATAAAAAAGAAAGAAAATCTACACAAAAGCCAGATGCTCTCTTACAGAGTAAAATACCATTAGGTTCAAATTGAGAGCCTGGGAACAGAACTTCAATATCCTGCAGAGTTTTTAAACCTCCGCACGGTTAATTGTGGAGATCTGAGATTTCACGTTTCTCATCGCAATCAAAGCTGTCGAAACAGAGCTTCTCCGTTGAGATCTCACATTTCCGCTCTATAACCTTTAACAACAAAGGAAGCAGAGATGCTTCGCTTTGCAGTCGAACTGTTAGCAGCAACTTAACCCTGAAAGGATGGCAGCAAACGTGCCGTGATGGGTCTGAAATAGCTGAGCGGTAAAGATGAGATGAGGAATCAACAGAATCCCAAAGCAACTCCCTCCTTCACTTAAGTAAATCTTCCCTCAGTACTTTAGTGCAGCTGAACACACAGGAGACACCAACCACTTAAAGATCATTCTAAATCAGTCAGAAATAATTTGAACTGCTGACCGAATGCATTCAATCATTAAGACCCGAGACTGCATTCATACAGCATGTCAAGACAGAAAACAACTCACTATGTAGTCATGTTAGCATCTCTTTGTTTTGAATTAAACTAAAAAAAGTTTAGAATAAATGTTAAAAACAAAGTATTGTGTAAAATCTACATTTTTTAGATCTACATCATGTCATAATGTTATTCCCTCATCAAAAACAGAACTGGAGTGTTGCTTTGATTTTAGAGCACCTCTCCTCTGCAACTCTCCCACTCAGCTCCTTCAGACTAGCCAGTAGCAATTAGCAAACACCTGGTGGAACTGCATGTCTGCTGAGCTCGTTATAGGAGCTATTTCTCAGTGAAAAGCTGGTAAAAACATTGTTAAAGGGTTATAGAAGATCGATGTTGTGATGACTTCCTGAAGGCAGAGTTTGCAAACTAGCTAAGGCTTTAAGTGTTATAAGAGTTCAGTATTTGCTTATATTTGCATAAGCAAATGTATTAAATATTTGCTTATGTTTAACATGGGGCTCATCCAAGTAAACAAAGAATAAACTGAAAAAAAATCCAAGTTTCAACAAATATTTCTTTTGCTCAGTCTGCTACTTTTTCTTTACTATTTTTTTTTTTTCATCATTTTATACTCAAGACTAGAACCAGGTTTTCTGGACTAGAACCAAATATGGAGAAGCAGCATTCAGCTTCTATGCACCACAAATTTGGAACAAACTTCCAGAAAACTGAAAAACAGCAGAGACCAAGTCAAGGCTAAAAACTCACTTGTTTATAGATGCATTTGGACCATAATAAATGAAACACTGACCAATATATTTAATGTGTGTCGATGATTTAAATGATGACACTGGACAAATTGCAATGTTTGTTACTGGTTTCTCAAGTGACTGTGTGACTTTTTTGTGACTTTTTATTTTTGTGTTTTTATTAACTTTGGACTGCCTTGTTGCTGAAATGTGCCCTTCAAATAAACTTGACTCATTGATTTATTCATGTTCACCAGTTTTCATGGACATTAGGTTTGAACGTTTCTTACTTTTCTCTTGATAGCAGTGGAAGAATTTCACTTTCCCCCCCCCATTAGTGCAACTCTCATCCTATCCATCCCCATTAAGTTTGGCTCAGAGCTTTATTACCTTTTAAAAACGGGTTATTTCTGCTGTCATTTTTCTGGAAAGACCTTCTAAACGCCTGCATCCGACTTTTGACAGCAAATGTTAAAAACTCCCCCAGAATGGGAATGGGAGTGCTTCTGCATATTGAAATGTGTGTCACATCGGATTATAGTGTCTCCCTACTTAATTGAGGGGTAGTTACTTGGAAATGGGAGATTAGCCTTTTACCCCGAGTAGAGAATGAGACATCTCTTCATTTCTTCCCCTCCCTTTAAGACATTGAATTTCACCAAAAAAATAAAAAAAAATAAAAAATTAAAAAGTACTGCATAATGAGTGGTGCGGACCAAATTTTCAGAAAGACCCATTTACTGGCCTGAGGACTAAAGCATATAAATTACTGTCAAGACACTGGGAGCCCACATTACATTACCCACTGCAGGCAAAAAAATTTACATAACTGTAACACTGCCTGAGGTCAGATTTCTTGTTCTAGAAAAATCAGCTTCTAGTAACAGAGGACAGTAATTAAGACACAGTCAGGCTAAAGTCCCAGCAGATGTTTGAACCTAACTCAACAGCTGCATGGAAGCATTAAACACACACACACACGCACACATACGCCCTCCACCTGTGTCATTTGGCCCTTTGTGTTACAAGTCAGGACTGTTTCTTTTCCTGTATCTCATACTGAGGTTATTAGGACAGTTAGATTGGAGGGAAATACAGCAAGTGATGAC